CCTAGTTAGCAGGGTTGTTGTGACAATAAAATGGGAGGGAACTCTGCAAAACAGAGTGATTCAAGAGGGCTTTTCTACTCCGGCAATAGAGCTGTACTGCACTAAATGATTCACAAAGTTACTTGGATAAATTGTTAGGGACTGTGGTCAACACTACTGTGAAGACAGATTCAGGTTGGTAGCCATGTTGGTCTGAAGCAATGGAACAAAGTTTGAGTCCAGTAGCTCCTTTAAGACCAACAAAGTTTAAGTCTGGGTATGAGCTTTCGTGCGCACGCACACTTCATCAGACATGTTGAAGTACATTTCCTTAAGCCTTACATATAGACAACGGGAGGTGTTGCAAGGAAGGGCTAGTTAGAGTCAAGATGCACAAGTAACTGGGCAATAAATATAGCTGAGATTGGATTAAAGGAGTTGGTAAAACCTGTGGATGGCCACAAATTAGAGTACACATTGTATTTGTATGCTAATTTGCTGTCATTCATGGGTCTTACCAAACGCTTTAATCCAATCTCAGCTATACTTATCGTATAGCAACTAACTCCTAGCAACTAACTCCCCCTACATATATGTAAGGCTTGAGGTATCTGAAGAAGTGTGCATACACACAAAAGCTCATACCCAGAATTAAACTTTGTTGGTCTTAAGGGTGCCACTGGAATCAACTACTATGTTTAGCTTGCTGAAACGGTATAATTTTTGCATCACTGAATGTGTCCTGTTAATACTTACGCTTCGCTTCAGTTCTGCTTTTAGATTTTTTAAAAAAAAATTTAGAATATTTATTAAGATCAAGTATAACTTATAACATGTACAATACCTGCAAAACAGCATACAAAAGTTCTGAGAATCCAACATTACAAGCCAGCCAGTTAATCACAAACAAAGTTGTCATCATACATCAATAGTTATAACATAGTAACATACTAATGTAGTATCAGATCTGTTCCCATAGATAAGAATGACTTTTGAGCTATAAATCCCAATTAATGGAGTCAGGTTTAAACGACAACAAATTTAGGAGTCTGCTACTCTGAACAACAAGATTTCTGATTGGTTCTACAACCCTAACCCTATTGCATTTTTAACTGACTATCCCATACTGTCGATTGAATTGACTCATTCTGTGTAATCTACCTTGAGTCCAAGGAAGAAAGGCGGGCTGTAAATAACGTAAAGAAATAAAAATAATTTTTAAAAATCTGCCCTGAGCACCTCAGAGGAAAGGTGGCTTAACAAATGTGATACATAGGGGGGGAAGTGGCCCTGTTCCAAAGGGCCCCCCCCCAGCAGCCTCTGTGTAAGTCTCAAAATGGTTGATTGGTCTCCTGATATCACAACCTAGCGTGACTCTCAGTTTCTCCTTCCTCGTGACCTCACGTTGCCCTTTTTGCTTCCTGTATTACATGACAGGAAGAGAGGTTACGTCCTTTCTGGAAATTATACAAATTGGCTCTGTTCACATAGTGAATCCCATTTGCATACTATGGAAATGACACCATCCAGATTTGGGAGGCCCGGGCACAGCCGCCCTCTTTCACACCTTGTTGGCGGAAGAACCTTCTCTAAAAGATGATCACGGAATATTGAGTTCCTGGAAGACATCCATTTAAAAGGGCAGTTCGTATGTGTGCCTGATTCATTGGTTTGATCATCCTGTCCTCTGTTTGGGGCAGGAACGGAAGGGATTTGCAACTTGCAGGGTTGGCCTTAGAATCATAGAACTGGAAGGGACCTCCAGGGTCATCTAGTCCAACCCCCTGTACAATGCAGGAATTTGACAAATACTTCCCCGGGCCAGGGCTTTTTTGGTGGAAAAAGCCCAGCAGGAACTCATTAGCATAATAGGCCACACCCAACAGCAGAAACCCATTAGCATATTAGGCCACACCCTGACATCACATCTCATTAGCCTATTAGGCCACACCCCCGTGTTACCAGAAGTGTGGTCATCCAGCCACACCCACCTTTTTGCTTCTTATTCTCTTTACCTTGTTTGTTGTCAAAACCCAGGGCCTTTTTTGGTAGCAGGAACTCCTTTGCATGTTAGGCCACACATCCCTTATGTAGCCAATCCTAATGAGTTTCTGCTGTTAGGTGTGGCTTATTATGCTAATGAGTTCCTGCTGGGCGTGGCCAACTCGGGAGCCAGCCGGAACTCTGTTCCTGTGCGTTCCTGCCCAAAAATAGCCCTGCTTCCCCCTCCACAACCCCACTGACCACTGGTCCATGCCCAGAAGATGACGAAAAACCTCCAGGATCTCCAGCCAAATTCTCCTGGAGAAAAATTGCTTCCTGACCCCAAACAATCTTTTATACAATACAATAAAGTGCAGGTGCTCTAGCTGTCACAAAGGTCCTTAATAGCAAGATGGGGTTCTGGTAAAGATGGTCCCAGAACAACAAAGTAAATTCCAGACAGCATCGATTCTTTATCCCAGGGCCATCTCTCTCCCCAATGATACCCACTCCAATTGGTGTGTGGTCTGGATTCAACCCAGAGGCCATCCCGGATTGGTCTAACTGTGAGTAAGTCCATGTAAAGGTAAAGGTTCCCTTGCTCGAAAGCCAGTCGAATCCGACTCTAGGGTTGCGGTGCTCATCTCCGTTTCAAAGCCGAAGAGCCAGCGCTGTCCGAAGACGTTTCCATGGTCATGTGGCTGGCATGACTAAACACCAAGGTGCACGGAACACTGTTACCTTCCCACCGAAGTGGTACCTGCTTATCTACTTGCAATTTCTTACTTTCGAACGGCTAGGTTGGCAGGAGCTGGAACTAGAGACGGGAGCTCACTCCATCCTGCGGCACACTCGGGTCTCGAACTGCTGAACTACTGACCTTCCCCAGCCTGCAGTTCAGCGTCTTAACCACTTGAGCCACCGCAGCTCCTGTCCATGTACCAAGTGGTTAACTCACCAGGGTATGCCTATAGGCTGGTGGAAATTTCCATTGTCTGTATCGTATGTCAGACGGTGAGGGGCACCTTGGTACATTCTGTAACTGGTCAGAAATCCGGGGAAGAAGCCAGCGTCATGACTTTCCCTCCATTTCACTGGAGCTTCAGAAGGGCCATTGAGGGATTCCTGCT